ACTCTACGCCACGGCCATAATAAACATGTATGCACACAGACACAGAGAGGTGAGCGAAGGGGTGAGTGTGGAGGGGAGGGGTTGTGCCAGAGGTGAGAGCAAATCTTAAAATGGGAGAAAAAAACTAGTGAGATTGACTTAGCTGGAAGGGCTTGACTGGAAGATACCCTAAGCTAGATCAGGTATACACTTAGACGAGTGGGAGAAAGCAAGGCAAAGGCAAAGAAAGAGGATGGAAAGAGAAAGAGAAGTCAAAGGGAATGAATTTTAACCCCTATGACTTATATTAGGAATATGCATTTCATATTGGAAATCTTTAGCCTCTGTAGATGGACAGATATACATTGCCTCAATGCCTCTTCATTCTAGCACCTGTCACGGCTCCTGCTGCCTCCTGCAAGCATTTATATGCGAGTAATATACCCTTAATTTGCATTTCAATGCGTACAGGGCATAAAAAACCAAAGTTCAAAGTGCAGGAAATTGAAAGCATTAAAAATAAACGAAAGCCAGTAGAAATTGTTGATTCGTGAAAAACGCCAATACACAAATACCCTATAAAGTCAGCAAACAGCTTCAATCGATCATTGAGCATATATAGAATAGATAATAGAATAGACATTCGAAATTCATTTAATTTCTATTATAGCTATACCAATTTTGAAGCGAGCCTCCTTAGACATTCTCTAACTTAGCTGCTACATATTACAGGGTATGATTGCTTAGAATCTTCTAATTACATCTATATATATCAATAATGGTTCACCCTTAAGACTATTTGATTTGCTTAACTAATAATACTCAAAAGACTCATTAGAAATGGGAAGTCGGAGTATATTACTTCTATGTAAATGTATGTAACGGATAGAAGGAGGCGTGACAGAGTCCATAAGTTTTATATATTCTAGATTGGAGCCTAGTCGATCTCGTTCTCTTCGTTTGTATGAAAGGCTAAAGACCTTAGATAATATAAAATCGATAATCAAATAAAATCGATAATAAGTATCGAACTTCAGTTGTCTATATCCAATAAAAATTAAAATTCAGGCTATAATAGCATAACAGCAGGGCATCTCCGAGTCAGGTACACCCCTCCAATGCCACCTCGTTCACTCAGTGAATAGAGTATATTAGTTTTCTAGCAATTTCCAGTTAGCTACAGCTAAAGACTTCATGCGTATAATCGTCTTATAAACTGTTAAGATGCCTTCCATGCGCCCACTGTGGGCGTGGCTCAGCCTCATACATCGACATGAAGGAAAAGTTTTCGGTGCATAAACTTAAATGTTCTCGGACAATGAACGAGTATTATGCAGTCTTGTGTGGGTCGGGTTTATCATCTAGTACAGCTGTACAGCGTGTGCCTCCTGGGTGCCATTTTCCATTCATTATTTAGTTGTTTTGCCCTTCGCTGTTGTTGCTATTGCTGTTGTTGTTGTTGTTGTTGTTGATTGTGCTTTATAAAAGCACAAAGCAGGCAGCAGTAGCAGCAGCTCAAGCAGAGTAAAAAGTTAAAATATAGAAAACAAGAGAAACCCAAAATCAGCGCAGCGTTTCTTAAATACTCTTCTGAAATATAGAACTAAGTGAGCGTTCGATATGAGTAGTGATATTCGATACATAAGGGTAAACTATTTGCACATATGTCTACTTATCGATGTATAGTTTTCCAGTTGAGCTGCAGAAACAATGAATCTATCTTACTTCTAGTTATCGATAATTTTCCGATAATCATCTGCGCTAGTTCTTATATAAAGAGACTATTGATACTAAGCAATCAATATCGATTTGCATTTATTGATAATCAAACATCGATAATCATCTAAATAGAGTATTTTATCAATACAGATACATATATATTTATTTATGGTTAGTTATCGATACTCATCTGTCGATAGGCACCTATAAATGCTCATATTCGATGCTCATCTACCTGAAATCTTATTCCATACTCATCATTTATACACTTAGCAATCGATACTTGTCTATCGATAGTCATCTATTGACACCAAACGATACATAGATATAGATATTGACCTTTGTATACTCATCTATCGATAATCATCTACCGATGCTCATCTATCGAGAATCTTATAACAATACTCATCTACCACTAGTGCTCTATCGATATTAATCGCTTTCATATGCTACTATGTGCTAAGCTCATCGATATATCGAAAACATATCGTTTCAGCACATATGAACTTAAGATAATAATATTATTATGAGTTTCTAGTATAACGTCCAACTCAATGTAAATTCGCTTAGATCCCTAGAAGTTGGCAGTGTAGATGGGTCCAAGAGTGAACCGCAGGCTCATCTTGACAGATCTTAGCAGTTGGGCTGCTTTATGCAAATGATGGCAGAGGGTAATGCTGCCGGTGCTGCTGCCGGTACTGCTGCCGGTGCTGCCGGTGCTACAAAACCTGGAAAGTGACAAGACCGCCCAGCTAGGGGCAATAAAACGTAAACGAAAACGCAGCCGGGAAATGGAAGCTGGTGGCTGTTAGGCCAGGTGTGGCCTCTAGCCCAGCTACAGCTGGACCATAAAAAATGTTTGCCATCGCCGAGCAAATATCAGCGCATCCAATTGCGTATTGTTGTTGTTGTTGTTGTTGTTGTTGTTGTTGTTGTTGTTGTTGTTGTTGTTGTTGCTGTTGCTGGCAATTTTCATTTAAGACAAGTGGCCCGCTGATGGATAACTCACGGGGCCTCGAGTAACAGGCGCCGGATAATTGCAATGCGAACCGAGTCGAGCGTCAGGGTCGTCGGGGTCTCTCGCACTTTGTGTACGGCTGCTTATTGGATTGCCGCCAGCCTGGCCGGGGCAAGAAATTTGAAACTTTCCGGACGGACGGTGCTGCTGGTGCTGGACCAGTTTCACCGCCCAATGCCCAAACACCTGACGCACCTGAGCCAAGCTCAAGTGGCCAATAACGAAGAAAATGTCAGCCAACTGCAACGGCTGTCAGTTGGTGGCTGGGGTCACTTCCCATTAAAACTGAAGCCTCACGAAATTCGCGTGACTTGCGGCTTGGGGATTCTGCTGGCGAGGCGGCAGCGAGGGAGGACGGCGACAGGAAACAACTTTGGCATTGGGGTTAGGGTAGCGATTGGGGTTAGGGCCGTGCCCGGGGTCGGGGTAGGGCAAGTGAACGGTGCTGTTTGTCATCAAGTCATTCAGAGTTGGTAATTACACCAACTAAGCTCAATTGCCAATGGGTGCATTTATATGCTATTCTTCATGATGCTATTATTACGGCTGCTATTAGTATCTAGAGTAAGTCTATTTGGTTTAGTGGATATACAATACGTATAAGCTAATTCAAGCGGATGTGGAGATAGAGATTACGATGATAATAGCAGGCCGTGTGCCGTATTAATGATTGGAAGTCCACGGTGCTCAGATATGGGAGTCAGTCGTAAACGAAATTCCCCAATACAGCTCTCGCTCCAGTTAGATATCATATAAAAGATAATCGAATTATATAAGATATTATATCAATATCGAAACTCTCTGGAAGTGTGTCTCTGGCTGTCTGTCGAACAGACCGTTCGAGTGACCATCCGACTGACCGACCAACAGTTCGACTGACCGTCCTATAAACCCTCTAACTGGCTGTCCAACCGTCCTTACGCCCGTCTATGCGTACTTCCGCCTGCCCCTTAGCCCATTCTCCGTTCTGCTTGCCCTGTAAAAAAAAAGTATTAAGATGCTTTTATTTCGGCGATAGATATCTTCATTCATCTTCCATACTTTGCTTCCTCAACCAGTTCTCCTTCCGATAGGAACTGCCACGACAGCCTACCGACTGCATCGGAACATCTACGTTAAGCCGGAAATTCCATATCTAATTGTCCTTCTATATTAGGAAGACCACCGATAAGCCTTATCCAATACACAGCATCCTTAGCTATTAATCATTCCCAATACATATCCCTTTGGCAGGCTCTACTAGACTTTCCGTATCCCATTCCCATCTACTGAATCAATATGTATTTAATCATTAATCAGAACTGATATAATTGATTTGGAAATAACAAAATAAATAAATAATAAATAAGGTATCTTAATATGATTAATCCTTAATCCGAACAGATCTGATCAGATTTTGCAACAAGAAGATAAATCCAATGTCCATTGGAATACCAATTAGTTAAGTTTACATCAGTTGAAGTATCCTAATATTATTAAGTGATTAAACCTTAATCAGAACATATCTGATTAGGCTTTTTCAATTTGAAAATGATTCTGCTGGGATTTAGTGGAGATGCTGTATTCCCGGGGCAGCATCTAATGCCAATCTCTAGCATTTGTTACGCCTAGTGTTAGCCCAGCTGAGCACCAACCAGCCAAACGACCCACCGACCGCCCGACCAACCCTCCCAGTACTTGACCCCGCATCGACGTTCTCCATTGCAAGTGCAAAGGCAAAGCCAAAGCCAAAAGCAAAGCCAAAGGCAAAGGCAAAAAGGGAGGACGGGGCGGGGGTGCAGTGCAGCTATGCGTAGATGAAGTTTTCAAGTGCAATGCGCAACAACAACAACAACAACAACGACAACAACAACAATAACAAGCGGTCTATGATAGCGACAGCAGCCGCTTTGACGCCGGCAGCGCAGCAGCTGTCAAGGCAGAAGAGCGCGCAGCTGTGTGTTGCTGCGCAATGAGAGAAGATAGAGAGAGGAGAGAGTGAGAAAGAGAGAGCGAGACGAGGTTCGCATAATATAGGCATAAAGGTTGCTGCTCTCTCGCTCTACCTCGCTGCCCCTCTTACTCTCCTCCACCCACACTCTCTCTTTCGCTCTCTCTCTCTCCCTCACTCTCGCGATGTTGACAATTGTTAGGCAAATGAAAAGCAATCACAACAATAACAATAAGTGATAAGCAACAACAACAACAATAGCATTGGCTAATTATTAAAAACATATTATAATAAAAATAATATTTAAAAAAAAAATTAATATTTACAAAAAATAACTAAATTAAGCTGCAGCTGCATCAACAAACAACAAATAAAAAAAAAATTAAAAATAAAAGCAAATGCAAAAAATAAAAAATAACCGTTGCACAGCCTACACACAGTAGCAAAGGCAACAACAACGTCGACAGCAGCAACGCCGCCTACGTCAACGTCAACGTCAGCGTCAGCGCCGACGTCTACTATTATTTTTGCGCACTTCATTCTACTTTGAAGCACGCAGCACGTAGACGGCGAAGCGCCGCTTAGTCTCCGTTCTCCACACAGCTTCCGTTAGGTTTTGGCGGCGTGCGTGGTCGGTCGGTCGGTCGGTTGGTCGGTTGGTCGCTCGGTCGGTCGGTTCGCTTGGCTTGGCGCTTGGCGCTTGGCTTGGTCGCTAGCTCACACGTTCGGTCAGCGTCGGCGTTGTCGGCATCGACGTTGGCGTCACTGTCGTTGCTCTCCCACAGCAGCGTTGGCGTCGCGCGTCGCTGGCTCGCTTGGTGCCAGTGTTGTGCGGTCGCTGCAGCTGTGAGCATCGCGAGAGCGCGCCGCGTCGCTGTCGTCTTGTTCATATGTGTGTGTGCGTGCGAGCGCGTCTAAATATATACATCTGCGTGTCTGTGTGCGTATGCATGTGACAGACAACAAACCGCCTCGCGCTCGAAATAATCACAATAAATCAAAATAAACAATCAAAAATATCAATTTTAATTTTTTTTTTTTTTTTTTTAAGAGAGCATAAGAAGCAAAAGATAAACAGAAAGTGCAATTTTTTTGACAATATTTTTTTTTTTTTCCAAGTGTTTTCTTGGACAGCGCTGCGGGCCGGCGACTGTCGCGAAAGAGGCGCACAAAGCAAGTACACAAATTACATAAAACAACAGCAAAAAATATTAAAACGAGCAGCAGCAGCAGAGGCAGCGGTAGCAGCAGCAGCAGCAGCAGCGGCAGAGGCCAAACCAAAAACCGAATCTAAATTAAAATCGTAAATCAACGCAAATCACACAGCAGCAGCGGTAGCAGCGGCAGCAGCGACAGCGGACAGCGGACGACAAAGACAAAAAGAACGAGAAGAAGAAGCAGCAGCAGCAGCAGCTGAACGACAACAATCGCCGCTTATCAAATGCCGCGACGTCGACATCGTTTAGCGCCGCGTGCGTGAGTTTAGCTCTGTGTGTGTGCGCTTGGGTGTGTGTGTGTGTGTGTGTTGGTGTGTGTGTGTGTGTGTGAGAGTCTGTGCATGTGTGCGTAAGTGAGCGGCAAAGTTTTGAACTGGCGGCCAAAGGCGACAACGCCACTGCCGCCGCCGCAGCAGCAGCAGCAGGTGCAGCGCCAGCAGCGCGTCAACGGCGCAGTCAAAGCTTAACAGCAGCAACAGCAACAGCAACAACAAACGGCGCCACAGCAGCTGCATCAACCCAGACGCCGGCATTTCGCACAAGACATTTGCTCAAAGCAACGGCCAAAGTGAAAAAGAAGAAGAAGTGGAAGCAAATCAGCTTCGTCGATGATACGCTGCAGTCGACGTCGCTGCTAGTGCCAACAGCAGCAGCAGCAGCTACACAACAACGCAAACGCTCCACGTGCAGTGCACCGCCAGCGTTAGGCGCCAGCAGCGTTCACTCGCAGTCGACGGCAGCGCGACGTCTAAGCAAATTCCTGAAGCAGAAGGCGAGCAGCGCCGCCGCAGCAGCAGCAGCAGCAGCGCCAGTGACAGCGCAACGACGCAAATCGTCGACAGCGTCGATCATTGTCGAAACGGCATTGAATCGCTGTGCCGGCGGCCGAGCGGCTGAGAAAGCAGAGGCCGAGCGGGCAGCGGCAGCGGCAGCGGCAGAGGGCGGCGAACACTTGCCGAGCCGTCACAGCAGCAGCGCGACTGCGGGCAGCGCCACTGAAGAGGCCAGCAGCAATTGCAATACAAATACAAATACAAATACCAATACAAATACAAACTCCAATACGAACGCCACGTCAACATTCGCTTCAGCATCCGCATCGGCATCCGCATCGGCATCCGCATCCGCATCCGCATCCACCTCCACCTGGTGCGGCAGCATTAACTTTCTCGTTTATATGGTTTGCTCCTTCTGCTGTTGCTGCTACAATTATCGCAATAGTCCAACAAGGTTAGTGGCCCCAACGACAAAACCATGCATCCCCCCTTTGACTACCCCCTCCCTCACACTACCCTGCTATTCTTTGCCATGTGATGAACTGATCTATACCCTGTAAATACACTTGCAGAATAGTGGGTATGTGCATTTCGCTGGGTATGAAATGTTTTAGTTTTAGGCATCTGTTTTGCAGTGAAGATCGCCTAAGAAGAATTAGGAAATTAACTCTGTATATAACTAAATATAGATAGAGAATGGGATAAATGAAAAGTAGCAGTATGTCTGAGTTGGGCAGGCTGTGCTGTATAGATATACGTATGATAATAGCAAATGTGTCCGTCTTAATGACATTATACTGTACATACCTAAACACAGATTTATATATATAAAAACTTAAAGTCTGTCCGTCCTAGCGAGGTCATATTGAATATATTTAAAATAATCTCAAATGTGTCCATCTGAATGAGATTTTACTGTAGAAGTAAAAAGTATTTTCCCTCTTTGCGAGGCGATGCTGTATATCTTAAGAAGAATGTTAAATATATGGATCTAAATTAGAATATAACAATTATTATTCAATATGAACGTGTCCGTCTTAGGTGGGTTATACTGTACTAAATATTTATAGTCATTGTATTCGTCTAAATGAGTGAGATTGGATACAATGTCATTTTAGCCAAGGTTTACTGTATAATTACAATAGCAAAAATGTCCGTCTAAAGGAGATCATACTGTATATATGTATAGCTAGGTATACACACGTAATATATGTTAACAGGTTACACTGTAGATCGAAAAGAACATCCATCCATCCATCTTATAGTGGGTTCACTGCATATATTTATCCAAATGTGAACTGGAAATGTATCCATCTTAGGCAGGTCATACTGTATATCTCAATAGGATTTCTAAGAAATTCATGTATTCATATATCTGAGAGAGAATCCGCATTCCATCAACCTTAAGCGGGTCACACTGCATTTCTAGCCCATCACTGCCTATCGCATGTCTGCAAGGGTATTCTCAATATTCGGCTAATCGAAGTTCCATAGTTCTATGTATTCCAACAACTCTCCTCCACCTCTGCATCCCATCTAGATCTTATGTATTCCTAATATCTTTCTAGTTCCTAAGTTTCATATACTCTATCTATAATCTCCCTAAATGCTATTGACTTTACTTTAATCTTTATTCAAACTCTCTATATATAGATATTATATTGATACGTATATGCATACATATATACACCGAGGAAAACTTCTTTGATTTATTTGAATTTGTATATAGAACGATTTCCTCCTAGAAGTAGTTTTTATAGAAAAAGATTTTTTTTTCTTCTTACCAAATTTGAATTCAAAAAGGAGTCTAATTAGATAATTATATTCTCTGCTTTTAAAGTATATATATTAGATAATGTAATATAATATTAATATTTGCATTTTCCTATGTATGCACACATATATATTTTTTTCCATAGAAATCTCTATGAATTTTACGGAACTTTCTCGTTTCCAAGCATTTCACTTAATGAAATTGGAATTTTTCGCCCTCACCTACATAGCTGGATTTTTTTCTCTTTGTTTCCTTTGGCATCCAATTAGATTTGCATCCATAAACGGGAACCTAACGAACTTCTTCGTTTCATTTGCAGTTTTCAGAACTTGTTTCGTTTTTTTTTCTCTCTCTCTCTCTCTCTTTCACTGCGCCTTATCGCTGTCTCTTTCACTGGCATAGAAGTGACTTTGATGCCGATTCTTCATATTTTTGTTTCTTCTCTGCCTCTTGCTCATCTTTCGCTTCTTGTTTTTCATAATCAGAACACTCCAGCTGACCATTAACCGCAATCAGGCATCCCTCTGTTCTCTGGCTGCTGCAACGGGCAGCGCCGGCAGCAGCAGCAGTCGCCTAATGGTCGAGAGGCCGAGTGGCTCTCGTTGCTATGAAACCCACTTGGGACTAATTATTAGTTTGCCATTCCGTTCGAGTTCCAATTCCATTTACCGTTCATCAGGCTCATTCACCGAACGAACGAGCGAGCGAGCAGGCAATCGAATTGTCGTCACATATCGTCAAGTGGTGGAAGGAGGCGGCAGCGAACCATGCTATAGGCAGGTCAATCAAATTTTTAGGCTCAGATTAGAATGATTCCCACACACACACACACACACACAGAGAGAGAAAGAGAGAGATAGCTGTGTATGTGTGTGCTTGTACTTGTAAGTGTGTTCGCAAAGCTCTCGACTGACTGCTTGGCAGGCGCGAGGTCAAAGTTCAAGGTTGCCTGCCTGCTGCCTTCCACACACACACACACACACACACACACACACACACACGCACAACGAGAGGCTTTTGTTGGCATCTGTCTGTTTTGCTTGTTTCACATCTAGCAATTAACTGTACATCTCTCATAAGCTCAATTGAATTGTGTTAAATGCGAAATCTGCACAACTTGTCAATTGATGAAGAAAGAAGAAGAAGGTGAAGGAGACAGCAACACTCAACTTCCTAAAGCTTCAAATACGCAAATACTTCAAAGCAACACCATCTGCACTGCTCTCTCTCTCTCCTTGTCTCTCAGTCTCTCCAATTTTTACACACTTGCTGGCGCTGCGTCGCGACGCTGCTGTCGTCGCTGCTTGCGGCTGTTGTCTGTTGTTCCTTTTCAGCTGTTGCTCTGCAGGGGGCGCGATCTAGCGGTTTCTTCTGCATTTATTTCGTTGATAAGTCTACGGCGATCATTACGGCTGCTGCCTTTGTTCTAGCTGTTGCCGTCATTGTTGTTGTTGTTGTTGTTGATAAGAATCGCGTCGGCACACTTTGAAACTGTGAGCCGACTGCAAATAAAACTGTTTGTATACCCTCTAAACATTATATGCAATGGGCGATGTTGATATTTAAGTGCAACATGTAACAGGCACAAAAGAAATACATAAAATTATTTATAAAAGGCAAATATCGATTATCGATCACATACATTCATCATCGATAAAAGTAAGTCCCATTTACAAATTTACAGGGTATTTACCAGTTAGGCACTTGCTAGATTGCACCATGAACTTTTGGTTTTTTATCATAAGCGATAAATGAAGAATAAAACGAATAAGAGGAAGCACTAGATTAGCACTCAACGCTTTAATAAAATTAAGAATAAACACAATAAGCTAAATAAAAACATTTGTGTGCAATGCGATAGTCGAAGCATGAACTGTGTCAAGTGCAGAGACAGTGCATTTCAATAAACCGTTAGACGGCTAAGGGTACGAATTTACATACATAATCAAACGTGTTCGTTTGCCAGTTACATACGTACGCTCGAAACCGATAAGCTCTCCTAACACGCTTTCAATGGGTTCAAGTATAAGAGATAAGCATGCTTTGCCTGTAAGTCACCATGCGTAAGCGTGCACGTGTGAGCGCATGCACGTGTATGTGTGTGTACAATGCAAGATAATTTGCAAGTTCGATTCTTCTTTCGGCACTTTTATCCACTATTGCACTCATGCGTATGCCTTGTGAGCATGTGTGAGTGCGTGTTTGTGTGTGTGTGTGTATGTTTGAGTGTGATTGGCGGCGTCAAGTCATTGTACTTGTGTAAGCTGCAAGCTTCGGCATCGCCGCCATCGTCGCCGTCGTCGTCGTCGCTGTGTCTGCCCTTGCATTTGGTCTCTGCCACTGCTCTCTGCTTGTAATTGGATTTCCGCTGTTTACCAACGAGAGAAAGACAGCGAGAGAGAGAAAGAGAGTGCGCGATTGAAAGGTGTAGGAGACGGCGCTAAATGCGGCAGCTGTTTGATGATGAATCTTTTGCAAGACACCGATGTCAACGTCAGCGTCGCCGTCGCGTTACAACTTTCAATTTCGATTGCCAAATGCTCTCTCAGCGGCAACTTATTATGCCAAGGCACGTATTGAAAGGCTGGGGCCGACCACCCAAAAGCGCCACCCACCCAGAACATAGAACGTGCTAACGCAAAGCTCTCACGCATGCCGCTCAGCGTGCTCTCTATCTCTCACTCTCTCACGCCGCTGTCGTTGTCGTTGTCGTTGTCATTGTCGTCGTGCGCTCACTTACATCGCCTGGCGTTAGCTTCGTGCACTCATTCGTCTTGTTTCGTTTCATTTCGTTACGCTGCTGCTGGCGCTGCTTCTGCTGTTGCTGTTGCTGTTGCTGCTGCTGCTGCCTGCTGCTGCCTGCTGCTACTGGTACTGGTGCTGCTTCTTGCTCGCTTGCTTGCGCTTGGTCTCTGTC